GTTCGCCGGTCTGCCCGCCTTGAAGTGCGGAGCCGGGGTGGTGCTGGGCCCGCCGGGCTGCGCCGAGGGCCCGCCGGCGGGCTGGGCGGCCTCCACCGCAACCGTGGTGGGTTCGGGCTTCTGAATCTCTGTGTGTGCGTGTATGTGTGTGTTTTGGTACCAAGGGGCAAAGTAACCAAAGCCCATCATGAATCTGTCCCTCTTGGTGTGGTAACTGTGCCTAAGTTGTGCCTCAATATAACCCCGCAGAGGTGTTGCTAAGCTTTGCACAACGATTCAGGCGGACACACACACACACACTCTCACTCACACTCTCTCTCTCTCTGACTAGAAAATGAAGGTGAAAATGAAGACTTGAGATTTTCTGAATATTTTTGCTCCCTATTAAAGCTGAAGCACTTTGATCTTTACTTCACAAGACCCTAAATAGAACAGGAGCTGACTCAGGATTTTCTGAAACAAGGTCATTAAACTGAGATTGTCTCTTCAGCCATGACTACTTTATGTTATAACAGAAGAGGCTGATTTTTATGCTGCTCCCCTTTATTATATGTATCCTAAATAAATCAAACAGTTTTCAGTATCTGTGTTGAGTGTCACAGACTGACATGAATGTGTTTTGTTAAAGGCGTATTTCACCTTTGTAGCTTTTGCAACCAGTTACGATAATGGTGAAGTTAAAGAGAAATAGTTCCTTTGTGCTGAATACCTACTAGAGCAATGTAACCTCCATTAAGAACTTACGTACATGTCACCACCCAAACCAAGGATCTTTGTGAAGGAAGGGACATTTCCAAACAAAAAGGATTACATGTCATATGAAAAGAGGTACAGGAAAAACAATGGAAATAGACATGATGTGGAAAGCCAAGGCAACAGTCTGAACAAGTTTGAAAATTTAAACTCGGAGAACTCTAGAGTGATTCCCATGGTAAGTGATGGCTAAAAATAAGTGAATTAGGAGAAAAAAAATGCCAGATTTTCATGAACAAAATATGGATCAAACAAAAAGATCTTTTATAACATTTGTATACATACAAGTTTGCAACAAAAATGCCCAGCTTTATTGCCATTCTTTCCTCTTAAACAAATTGTGACTAAATTTTGAGGTCTAAAAGAGCAGCAGTCTTGTCAAGCATAAAACACAGAGTTTTAAGAAGAGGAGCTGGTATTCATATGAGTAAATAACTGAGAACTCTGAGATGCTAATCAAAATTTAAAACAAAAATTTGAAGGAATTTAAGCAGTATCTTCTGGATGGAAGGGTTTTTACAAAATGCACAATAAAATGCTTAGACAGATTGGGAAGTCCGGGTGCAACCCTTCTTGTCTGGAAGGGCAGGATGGTCACACAGCAAGTGCTGTCTTGCTGTTCCAGGACCATCCAGGGTCAGAGCAAACTCTTACATCCTGTATTGTGTTGCCATATGCTAATACTCATATCGAGTTCTTTTAGTATGTTGTAAATGACACAGATTTGTCCTATTAGAGAGACGCTTAGAAGTGACACCTTCCAGCCCCCAGCAGAGGGTACAAAGAGAATAGGAACTTTTGAATAATCAACATTTCCTTCTTTTATGTTGCTTTTGTAAATGATAATAAACAAATTAGGGAAGGAATGATGAGTGGCTAAAGCTGTAAAACGAACGGAATCAGCTGTCTAGGCTGATGTGTCTCTCCACATCTGTAACCCTTCTGTGTCTTCAGGTGGAGACAGATGCCTTCAATTGAGTGAGCTGAGCTGATAGGTGCAGGCAGTCAGCCTGGACCCCTGAGTGCTGGCATTTAAGCGGCCCTTCAGGAGCTGTTGGCACCTGTGTGCTATGCAGTCCAAAGATCGTTTAAAAGATTCAATCATTATAGCAGCTCGTCTTCAGTTTTGTCATGCATATGACTATATCCAGCCTGATTAACTGGCTACTGAGTGTTTCCCATTGTTGTCCCCCTCAGAAATTCAAACCGGAACTGAATCCTTTTCCCAGCACTCTCAGTTGGTGTCTGTGTGACTTTCTTTACCCCTAATACTAGTGGAGGTGATACGGTTTGAAAGCTAGCTGCTTGTAAATGTTCAGTCACTCTAGCAGAATGTTGCCATCAAAAGAATGTCTTCTCATTTGAATATGTCATTATGGGAGAAGCTTTTTCATAATTTGATCTACTGTAAACCATGGCATAGATCTTCCAGGACTTGTGTATCCTACATCTTTGCAATGTAACTTTAAACAAGTTAAGATTTCTTTAAAGGAAGGTGGGTCAGGCAGATAAAAACCAACAATGTAAAACACATCTGGGAGCAATGAAAGCTGGTAGTACTTCTAATAAACATAAACCAACGATCTCTTTGTTAAAGGATGGGACTAACACTTAAAGAGATCATGAGTTCTAGTCTTAGCGCTGTCAGAGACTCACTGCAAGACATTGAGTAAGTCACCTTGGTTTGCTTCAACTCAAATCTTCCCCTATTAGTCAGAGCTGGAAATGGCAAAACCTTCCATGTTTAGAAACCATTAGTGATCCTTAGTTCTGAGGTGCTGTGGCACTGTCTACCTGGTTATATTGACACCGCTCACAAGCTTGATGCCATAAGAGATATCAGTGTTCTATATTTGTATGTCACTCGAGTTTTAAAACATTTTTTTTCCCTCTCCTCTTTATAGTAGTGTTCTAACCCATCACCAAAATGAGTGAAAAGGAAAACCAAGGAGATCCAGCAGACATGGGTGATTTAACAGAAAGTGGAGAATATGAGGATGACTTTGAAAAAGACCTTGAATGGCTAATTAATGAAGATGAAAAAGAAAACCCTGGTGAAGGAGAGGTATTTGTTAAATTAAATGCTGGTTGTCTTATTTAGAAGACAAAATTGAGTAATATTTGGAATCATAAACACAAAATTCAGTATGGTTTGAAATGTGTACGTATATTCACTGAATTTTGACAATGAAAGTTAATTGGAATTACAGTGAAAAATAAGTCAGTGTACTGGTTAGTTTGGTTATAATTGTTTTAAAACAAATTTTCTGGTTTAAACCAGAAAATTTAGTGTTCATTGAAAATAATATGTTTGTTTCAAAAGTACTTCTGGATTCCTTTAAATGTTTCTGCAACAACGTTGTTCTGTTTTTATGCTGTCACTGATTGCTGGTGCAAGCCATGGTTAGTTAAACTTTGTGTAGATGTGAACATGGAGAACCTGTTAATGCTAAGAAAAACTGTTAGTTATGACATGTGCTATTTGACAGCCTGTTTTGCAATTAGGGTAGTTAGTACTGCTCTTCTGTCTCACTATTTCTTTTCTCTTTCTCTGATACTGTTCTTTGTTGGGAGAATAGACTAGTTTATTTTAATTTTTTTTTAGAATCTTGAAAAAAATGAAGAGGATATTGAAGCACAAGTTGTTAAAGTTGCAGACAAGTTTGAGGAAGACAATGAGGAAATGGAAGAAAATCCAGATCAGCTTTCAGAGGCAGATGTAGATGCAAAAGTGAGACCCTCCAATGAAGAGAGTTTGGAATCCACGTCTGATGTTAAACAGGGGGACCGTGTATCTGATACTGATAGTGAAAGCTCTATCCAGGAATCGAAGCTGGAAAACCAGCAGGAACTGGATGAGGAAGAGGATGAAGAAATAAAGCGTTACATCTTAGAAAAGATTGAAGAAGCTAACAAACTGTTGGAGAATCAGGCTCCTGTAGATCAGAACAGAGAACGGAAATTAAAATTTAAGGATAAGTTGGTGGATCTTGAAGTTCCTCCTCTAGAAGATGCTGAAGTTTGTAAAACTGACTTTGCAAGAGGAGATGATGTTTCAAACAGGCTATCTCGATTGCACATTTCTAATGAAACAGGACAGGAAAGCACATCACTTTCACCACGTGCTGGCAAGGGTGAGGAAAAGAAGGATGGTAAAATCCTAGTGGAAAAAGATGGGAAGTTTGAACTCTTAAGTTTACGTGATATTGAAAGCCAGGGCTTTTTGCCCCCTATAAGTGTTTCTTTTACTGATATTGAAACTCAACACATGTCTCCAAAATCTTCACACTACGGTCCTTTTGGCACTGTCTCTGGAATGAAGGAAGTACCTCCAGTAAGACCAGGAGCACATTCTTTTTCTCCTGTTGGAGAAGAGTGTGTGTATTTCCCTAAGCCTCCATCTAACCCTAAGCGTCGTCCAAATTCTGCTATCAATGCAGCAAGAGGTCTGGGAAGACGGAAGACTCCGCAGAGAGCACAATCTGCAAATGCGCCTGTTAGAAGTTCCACTTACTGTCTTTCTCCCAGGCAAAAAGAGTTGCGGAAGCAGTTAGAACAAAGGAAAGAAAAACTGAGGAAAGAGGTAAAGATACAGAGACAAGTAGATCATAGTGACCATCCAGTTCCTTTGCTTCACAGAGACCACATATTCAGGGCCTTTACTCCATTTTTGCATGATAAAAGGGGCATTATTATTATTATTATGCTCTGGAGTTTGTAGAGAATCTCTTAAAACTCTTTTCCGCAGAAGAAAAAAAACCCACAGAGTGGCATAGGATCATGCCTTGCTTACAGGAGAAATCAAGTATTTATTTAATATATCCTTCATAAATAGGCCGCCTTCTGCTATATTATACTTCCTGCTTTTGCTTGTTGACTCTCTTTCTGCCCAGGTTCCATTACAGCCCCACTGTTTACTGGAACGTAGCACATGGTTTTGTATCTCTGTAGAGTACACTGCAATGCAAGAAGTTAACATTAACCACAGTAATGCAGGTGCACATTTGGGTGCTCATAAAGTATGTAATAGGCAGTTATCATATCAGAGAGTTTTCAGTCATAAAATAAGATTACACAGGAGAATGACTGTGAGAACTATGAACAAAGCAGAGTGTGTTTAACGTGTATGGAAGATATAGCTGACTTCAAAAGTGGCATGCCTTGTTGCTTGCATAAGATGCATGCAGGTCAAGTCCTGTGGACTGATAATATAACTGGATACTCTTTTCCTGTAAAGGTTTTGCATGGGTGAGTGTTTTCTCGATGAGTTTGTTGCAAAGTAGGTTATTTTCCTTATTTTCTGTCAGTGGATACTACTTTTTCTTCTGATTTGGTTTTACCGAGGCACTACATAGAGGACAAAAATACGAAAACATTGCCAGTACTGAGGCTATTCTTCTTGTATCTATAAAGGGTAGTAATTTAAAAGAAAAGAAAATCTATTTTAGAAAATCAAATCACTACCTTATGTGTTACTGGGAAAAAAAACCCCAACTTTTAATTCTTTCTCAGCTCTTTATTCAGAAAAAAATAATATTTAATAGAGAATCAGCCTCTGACAGCTATAACAGGAACTTCAGAAATCTTTACCAAAGATTTTAAAAACTTAGACGTTTTTCTTCACTTTGCGTTATGATGATAAAATTGCAAAAAGGTAGCTTGCTATGTACGTTGCTCTATAAAAACAGCATGGAAGCATCTACCATTTTTCTGTGCCATCATGTTCTAAGTAAGCTGGCTAAGTAGCTTCAAAGTTGCTTTCTCCTCATGGAAATAGGTCTAGCCTGCTTTATTTGAAAAGTTTGCTGAGGCTTAGCTCAGTAACCAGGGCTATGAAATGTGAAGAGTTACTGATGTGTTTTCTGTTTACACACAAGACTAGATCTCTTGACACCATACTCTGCCTATTTGAAGTAAAAGGTAGTGTGGTGGAGGTAAGGAAGGTTATTTTCCTAAGAGTGTGTGCTAAATCTCTTCCTCTGTTGGCTGACATATGAAAAGGTAAGAATGTATCACCTTATTTCTTCATTCTTGAATGGAGTTCTTCCATTCCGTGACAGATTTCACAGGCATGAAACGTTTCTTGACATTACTGGAATGCATTTGCTTCATTTTGGTGGGTTTCTTTCATTTCAGTAAATTACAAATTGTAAATTTGGAGGGTAGTCTGAAAGTTGTAGGTAGGTGGGGAAGACACCCTCAATTCGCAAGAAGAACAGATTTCTCTGAGTGTTGAAATGAGTGGGGATTGTAGCTTTTGTGTCAAAGAGAATCAAAACCTGGTAAAATGTCCTCATCAGCTTTCTGAACTATTGTTTGAAGCCTTTCTCCTCTTTGTAGGTACTTGTCATTAGCTAAAATGCGATTAATAATTGCAAAAAAGTTTTTTCAATTTTGTAAACTTGAAAAAAGTGTTAAGCTGTTAATACGCCTTAAGTAAACACATTACAACTTTATGTGCAGAAAATAATCTTTATTTATAAGGTAGTGCCTGCAGTCCATAGGTAGTTAAATATCCTTTAGGGTTTAGTGGTCCAACAAGCCTGAGAGTTTCAGTAATTTTAAAAATGCATCAGTTTAATCTGATTTTAAGCCAGTCAGAGCTATTGGGCAGGCTTAATTTTAAGTCTTCCCCTGTTGCTGTTGAAATATCTGTGAGTTGAGTTGTATCATGGAAATGGAGGTAATCACAAAAAAGGGTTAAACTGAAAGTATCTGAACATAACCTGAACTGCAGAAGTGCTCAAACTTTTTTCTTCCTACAAGTAGTATCAACCGTGATGCAGTTGTTGAGTATTCCTGTTTCATCAGCATTTTGGTGTCTCTCTCATGTAACTCAAATGGCTTATTTATTGTCTATTGTGACAATGAAGGCCTTTGCAGATTAATAGGATTCTCTTAAAGACTACTTTTCTTCACTCTTAATTCCATTCAAGGAAGAAGAAAAGAAAAGGGAACAAGAGGAACAGAAGAGAAGAGAGAATGAGATGGTTTTTAAAGCTTGGCTACAGAAGAAGAAAGAACAAGTGCAAGAAGAAAAGCGAATTCGTCGTGCAAAGGAGCTAGAAGACTTGAACAGCAAAGTAAGATATCCCTCATGTAGGACTGGAATCTATAGTGCTCTTGTTAAACAGGAAAACCAAATTCTAAGCCTGTGTTCTTAACTAAGGGTCTTGGGTTAACCCCAGCCAGCAACTAGGACCATGCAGCCTCTTGCTCGCTCTTGTACCCTCAGGAGGGTACAGAGAAGAGGGAGAAAGGGGGGAGCGGGCGGAAGGGGAAAAAAATCCTCATGGGTAGAGATAAAGAGAGTTTAATGGAAAGATAATGGAAAAGCAAAATAACAGCAATAATAATAGTAATGGTAAAAGAATATGCAAGACACAAGTCACTATCACCACCCAGTGAATTGGTTGCCCAGCCCAACCCCAGCAAAGGTTGTGGATTCCACCCCCACATCACCGGCCGCAGAGCATGATGTCTGTGGTACGGAATATTCCATTGGCCATTCTGTTGTCCTGTCTAGGCTCCTTCTCAGCTTCTGTGGGAAGCTGCAAAAAATCCGTGACTAGTATAGACAACTAAAACAATATGCATTATTGACATGCCTTTCTTACCAAGTCTGAAAACACAGCAACCACTAGAAAGAGAACGAACTCTATCTCAGCTGAAACCAGGACACTAAGCATATGAAAATTTAGAGTTATAGGACACTAAGGTAGGCAGGAGTGTTGATCTGCTTGAGGGTAGGGTGGTTCTACAGAGAGATCTGGTCAGGTAGGATTGATGGGCCCGAAGCCAATGGTATGAGGCTCAACAAGGCCAAGTGCCGGGTCCTGCACTTGGGTCGCAACAGCCCCATGCAGCGCTACAGGCTTGGGGAGGAGTGGCTGAAAGCTGCTCAAGGGACGTAGGGGTGTTTGTTGACAGGTGGCTGAACATGAGCTGGCAGAGTGCCCAGGTGGCCAAGAAGGCCAATGGCATCCTGGTGTGTATCAGGAATAGTGTGGTGAGCAGGCCTAGGGAAGTAATCATTCCCCTGTACTCAGCACTGGTGAGGCCCCACCTCGAGTACTGTGTTCAGTTTTGGGCCCCTCACTACAGGAAGGACATCGAGAATCTGGAGCGTGTCCAGAGAAGGGCAGTGAAGCTGGTGAGGGGTTTGGAGCACAAGTCCTATGAGGAGTGGCTGAGGAGACTGGGGTTGTTTTAGCCTGGAGAAAAGGAGGCTGAGGGGAGACCTTACCGCTCTCTACAACGACCTGAAAGGAGGCTGTAGAGAGGTGAGGGTCAACCTCTTCTCTCTAATAACAAGCGATAGGACAAGAGGAAATGGCCTCGAGTTATGACAGGGGAGATTTAGATTGGATATTAGGAAAAAGTTCTTCACATAAAGGGTTGTTAAGCATTGGAACAGGCTGCCCAGGAAAGTGGTGGAGTTGCCATCCCTGGAGGTATTAGAAAGACAGGTAGACATGATGCTTAGGGATATGGTTTAGTAGTGGTTTTGGCAGTGTTAGGTTGATGGTTGGACTTGATCTTCAAGGTCCTTTTCAACATAGGCAGTTCTATGATTCTATGTTTATATGAAATATTTTTGTTACATTTGTTTTAGTGAAGAGCTAGATTGACTTGCATGTTTAGGCTTGTTCTGCTTGGCAGGGTGGCCTGCACTGTAGAAGCTGCATATATGAACTTAATAGCTATAAAATCACAGGAGATACAGTGATGCTCCTTTTTATCAGGAGCATGACTTGAACCTTGCAGTGAATAAGCAGCCAGAAAAGCCTTTGAAGTGTATTCCTTACCATCAGAACTTGTTGGCAAGCAGTGAGTGCTTGTGACCTGACCAAAACCTGAAGATTCAGATGCTGTTCTAAAGTTCCTCTGCCTTGCAGCAATGAGCTTGAAAAGCTAAATTCAGTATTTTTTAAAACGTAGCACTTTGAATGCTTGCTCACGTATGTATTCCATGCCAGATTAGCATATGCTCTAGTTTACTTATGAGGTATGTTTCATGGATGGTAGATACCAGTAGAGTTCAAAAAATTACTGTAACATGATTAATATAAAGGTCATTTAATGATAATCCTTGTGTATATATGTCTTTTTTTTTTTTTTTTTTTTTAATAGGAGAGGAACAGGAATCCAGAAGAAGCCTTCAAGTTATGGCTTAAAAAAAAGCACCAAGAACACATGAAAGAAAAACAGATCGAAATTTTGAGACGCCAAGCTGAGGGCATTGCCTTTTTTCCAAGAACAGAAGAATGCAACAGAGCCTTTAAAGAGTGAGTAGGGTCATTCCTGGGGAATCATATTTTACAAATTTGTAGTCTATTGGCTTAAGACTAGTTATTTTATGGTACATCTTTACTGCTGAAGTCCTTATTGGTGGGGGATTTCTTTTGCATGAATATGCCCTCATAAGCCTGCAGCCTAGCAAAAATACATTCATTCCTTGATGTCGATTGTTCACTGTTGTGAAATTACTTGCTGGAACTTGAGCTGAAATAGTGAATTGCTTCTGCTGAAAAAGGGAGATCCTTCTCCTCTAGCCCTTTTTGCCTGCTCTGGAGCAGTCTTGGGTTGGCTCAGTTCATTAAACAAGCAGAAAGTTAATCCAATAAAATGGATTCAGCCTGAGTCCATGAGTTGAATCAGCTCAACAAAAGTAGGGAGGTAAAGGGGAGTGCAGAAGCAGGATTGGGATGGAAAAGTGGTGCCTCCCATGTTTAGGAGTGGCGGGCTTTTAGACTGGCCCAGCCTAACTTTATCCTATGGGACCAGGTGAGTCTAGTTGAATGGGGGCAAGTCTCCTTTGAATCCATGAAGTAAAACTTTCAGTTGCAACTGTCAGTACTTCTAGTCCTGATTCTGTCTCCACAGATGGCTGAAAAGAAAGAGAGAAGAAAAACGAGCAGAAGAACTAGCTGCTAAAGAGAGAGCAAGGCAGCTTAGATTGGAAGCCAGAAGAGCAAAACAGATGCAGAACATCCATTGCATTAATTCAGAGCCTAAATCCTTTCGCTTCACAGACCATTACAGTTGAAAGTTCGATGTAACCACAGGGTTCTTGGTGGCAAGCCTCTTAATTTTTATGGCTTGAGCTTTTGCTCTTTAGTGCTACTGACTTTCTGGTGGTGTTTTTAAAGCTTTCAAGCAAGTTTAACAATTCCCTTCACCTACAATGATTTTACTATCTATTTATTTGTAATTTTGTTGAAAAGCCTGCTTTTACATATAACTCAGGGATCTTCTTGGTTTGTCCAAATCTAAATGAGCGTGAGATCTCTATGTGAGGGTGGCAAATACACAGTTCCTATCTTTAAAAGGCACTTCATACTCAACCCCACCGTGAATTCCTGGATGCAGGCTATTATGTAAAATGTTGAAATTTTGCTGGATTAATATTGCTGTTTGCTGCTGCTTGTGATGAAGACTGTACAAGGTGTCATGTTGTTGGAAAATGCCATTTCTTGTAGCACTTGACTATTGACCAGCTGTGAATTCTGGCTAGACCAGAGGACTATTTTATTTTAGTTCAGGGAAAGTGGCTAACACATATGTGAACGTGCAATAGTTTTTGAAACTTGTTTCTGTGAGTCATATTCAGTAGTCTTCTATTCCATGAAATTAAAGTGTTGTGTGAATTATGACCTTCACCAATATCAAGGAAGCTGGATTCCTTGGATACACATCCATGTTTGCTGAATTGATTATAATAAACTGCATCGCCTTACCTAGCTAAATTTGGAACTGTCATAGAACATGCTGAGGTCACTCAGGAAATCATAAAGTCAGTAGAAGATGAGGATCTTTCTGTCCAGCTGTGTGTCCAACAGATTTAACAATGAGCTGGCATTTTTCTTACATTCTTCCACATTCAAAGTGTTTTCTGGAAGTACTGTAACAGAAGGAAGTGTAGTAGATACAAAGCCCATTTGCCATTGGTATTTTTCTTACAGGCATACTGAGAGTACTGGTGTTTGACTGGAGGGTGCAGTGTTGCAGCTTTTGTCAGCATAGGTGACGGGCATGGATATAAATGAAAATTTCAATTTCACATGCTAATGAGAAACATGAGTAACAGTGCTTTCCTCCTTCCTGTACCTTCCCCTGACAGCAAGGGCAAGAAATGCTTTTGTGTCTAGCAAGCAAATGCGGGGGCAAGTTTGCAAAAGTTCACGCTATCTCCCCAGTTGTAGTAAGCTACAAAAGAAGCATTTCTTGGTTCATTACCTCAGACCAGTAGAGTGAAGGGTTTTACAGTTCAGTGTGAAATAGTTCATTTTATACTGCAGAGAAAACAATACAGCTGTATTAAATCCAAAACTGCAACTTGAAAGCAAGCAAAGAAAGTTTATTGTAGTTTACTTCATGCAAACCAAAGCATGGCCAGGAACAGCAAGAACTTATAACTTACATATTCTGATCATGGTATGAGATTCAAAGGAAAACGGGTAAAAAGCAACCATTTCAGAAACCCTTTCCCCAAACTAGACAGCTACATATCATAAATTTGGGAGCAAAGCTAAGAAATTAAAATGCCTATTTGCATCCTCCTACCTTTCCTCTTTACATTCGCAACTTAAATAGGCTTCTTTGGATTTAGCACATTGTCTGCCAAAATTTCTCTTTGAACCTGCATCAAGATTATAAAACCATACAAGTAAAAAAATATATTTTTTCACCAGTACCTGTGCAAACTTAGTGCTTATCTTCAGCTTCCTCTAACACCCAGGAGACCTTGGGCAAGGACTGAGTTCTAATGCTAGGTCAGGTTTCAACACTATGTACTAAAGGCAGTATATCAGTGTGTCTTTGCTGAGGACCAGCTATACAACAGCTTCCATTTAGAAGCTAGAGGAAAAAGCCAGTATTTTGGCTTTAGGGAAACACAAGAATCTCACCCCATACAGTTTTCCAGAATCCATTTAAAACCAGAGATTATTTATATATTCTAGCTAAAGCTTATTCAAGCTCTTTCTCCTCCTTGCCAGGAGGGCTCCAACACTGCATATGCTCTTATTTTCAGAACTTACAGCTATGAAGAATCATTGCACATACTCCTTTTTATAATTAAATTTAAAAGGCTGAACGTAGACTTGGGAACAGTTCATCACCTTAGCTAAGATTTAAAAAAAAAAAAAAAGCATGGAGCTGACCATTTTCCATTGCTTTTTTTTTTTTTTAAACATAACCTATTAGCACTTTATTTACTTTTGTATAGTTAAGCTTTTGTCTCCCTCTAAAGAGAAATTCACTGAGATTTGCTAATAAGACTGTAAACCTTAAACAGTCAAGGGTATCTCTATGGTCTACAAATGGGACCAGCATAACATTTTTGGTCTTGCCTTTGTAGAAGCAAAGAAGTGGCGTTCCTGGCTAAAAAGTAGTAGAAGTATCCCAGAGGCTAAGGAAATCCTGTCAGTCCCTAACTTCACGGGGTACAGAAGCAGAAACTGTATAATTTCCAATGTTAAACCCAGCCATCATGGAAGGAAACAGGAAAAAGGGAAGCCTGTTGAACATCAACTAGTGTAATTCTTTAGAAAGAGTGCATATGCAGTTGCATTGGCAGCGCTTTTAAAGGACTATCAGCTCTCCTTGACAGTGATTGCAACAATTGAAAGTTACATCTTCATATCTTGTATATGGGTGAAACCTTCCAATATTCTTCTTTGTGGAAAGGAAGGAAGATGGGGAAGTCTCAGAAAAAGAAAGTTCTGTTGATGTTTCTGTACGTGCAGCTGGATCCAGTACACGTAGCACCTAAGGATGGAAAAGTTGAGAATGAAAAGATATCAATTAAGTTTAATGGGCTTTATCCTCCTCTAACAGCTACGAAGGATTTCTGCTCAAAAGCAAGTTTTTTCAAATTTTTTTTTCCAGTTGAAAACTAAAAATCCATCTATCCAGACCCTCAATAGAAAGGCATTAAATACTGTTTATAAATTAGTAATGTCCATCAGAAATCCAAGGTATGATTTTATTGAGAATAAAAAAAGTAATCTTTTTAACAGAGTTGAGCAAAACCAGGCAAGAACAACACAGATAACTAGACGCCATGTGCCTCCTGCTGCCCAACTATTACTCAATTGCTTCCAGGCTAAACTGTTAGTCTAATTTGCTAATTAAACATCCAGCTTTCTGCAGTGGAACCCGATATTGAAAGATTATCGTACAGCTTCTCTGTGCTTCCATCCACTTTCAACAGAACTGATTTTTAGGGCAACAGAAACTACTGCTGAAGCGTTATGACTTATTCCTACCTGAACTAGGTCTCTCCTCCCACTCGTTTTTAAACTCAACTAAGTATTTTCAGTTTGTTTCCTCCTGACACTAATTTTAAACAAATTTAGACTCAGTTATTTGTGGTGCTAGGGACAGAGAAGGAAATACTATGTATCATCATTTATGTTGTTCTTATTCTTCCAGTTTTGGGTTGGGGTTTTTTTGTGGTTTAAGTGTTTTTGTTTGTTTGGTGGTATGTTTGTTTTTTTTTTTTTTTTAAATTGAGGGAAACAGACAGCTCTATTTGGCATGTTTCCCCTGCATATAGTTTTTAAAAAAGGCAAGATATTAAGTAGTTAACACAAAGCAAGACATTTCTTTCTGGAAAGACGACTGTGCTGACAGACTGAGATGCATGAAGAGTTCTTACCATTTCAGCCATTTTCTCAGCAGGGGTGTTGCAGAACTCCACAGCTGTTGAAGTCTTTTTTGGACTATTAGTGCCAACATTTCCAAGGAGATGTGAGCTTACAGCTTTGGCTAGCTTACAATTCACAGCTGCTAGCTCTGTTGTAGTGTAAGGCTGGGCACTCGGATAGTATGTCTGTTGTCTCCCCCACTGAAGAGAAACCATCAGCTCCTCCAGCAGCCTGTGCAGAAAGGAAAAGAAAAAAAGCAGGAACAGTGTTTTTTGTATTGTATACTATCAGCACACAGCATACTTCAGAAGAGGCGATTCTTCTGAAGACTTACCACACAAGCCAAATCTTAACCAAAAAAGGAAGTTTAGGTGTTTAAAAATAAGGAAGCAAATAGGCTATTCTCCAAGGCAAGGCCTCACCATCACAGTATTTTAATACTGGTAAAAATAATTTTACATGTGGAAGGATAAGCATTAAAGAGCCAATGCAAGTAGAAGAATCTGTGTTTTGGAAGGAGACACAAAAAACATGAAGTCAAGACAGTAGATGATTAAATAGAGGAAGTCTGAGGATATGAGGGATGTCAGTTCCACAGTATATGACCCCTAACACCTCACACCTCCAGGGAACAATGAAGAAAGAATTAATGCTACTTCGACTTTTTCAGCTCTGAGACTAAAAAGTGACCATACTATCCATCAGCACAATTGATTTTTGTTGAATATTACTGGAATAGGGAAAAGTTATTTGATTCTTCACTGGCCCAGAATAAACTGATAGAAATTAAAAGTTCGCACAGAGGCAGTCTGGATTAGAAAAATCATACTTCTGTGTATCAATCATCTCTTGACGGAACTGATCACGTTCATTCAGCAAGTCCTGGATTGCACTTTGTGCATCCCTGGTTTGACGCTGAAGAATTGCTCTGGTATTGGTTAGCTCATCAGCCATAACCCTGCAAAAGAAATCTCCAATCAGTAGAGTGAGCAAGCAGTTTGAAAGTCACCTTTATTCTACTACAGACCATAATTTGACAGCTAAAATGAAGTATTAAGCTGCCGTTCTCACCCTTCTCCCCCATGCAGGGCCTATATCAACCTTACTACAAAGGACATGCATTAAGAGCAATTTCTGTTCAACTGCAGCCAACACAAGTGCAAGAGTTGCTGAGTTTAAACAATCTTATGTCACTTAATACAAATCTAGTAACAAACGCTTTAAAACACCTTGAGTACGTAAACATGGTGGACAAGCACCCTGACAGATAAAGCTAAGTATGTTTTGTTTTACTAACATAGTTCTCACAAGTATGCTGTAATCATGTCTTTTCATACTCATCTCTAAAGATGACAGCTATGGCTACAGACTGCATTCATTCACCTCTCTGCCCTTCTCAGGGGCAATAACTAGATGTTATCTGTGCCAGACACCAGCATTTAAGAACTACGAGACAACTGTCGTCGTATTTTGCTATGTCATGAGACTTGGCGTGGACCCCTCAGGCAGGTATTTCAAATGCCTGCAATACTGCAAATGCAAAAAAATGGAATGACCGTTAAACAACAACCAGTTAGAAATCTGAGATCTCAACAAACAGGAAGGTTACAATATAGAAGGGTGCAACTCTAAGCCCATCACCACACTTTGGTTCCTAGAAGGGACTTGCATCCCTGGTCTCAGAACTCCTATTAATGCTAGAGAAACAAGTTAAATTAGGATAGTAACACTTGCCTAGCTAGGGCTATTACAAGTATTTACATTCACTCAGTATGCTGAAACTTCTTAAGACCAGCAAATTAAAGGGAGGACACAGTATTCTACTACTATTTCCTTCAAGCAGTTAAGGCCTTTTTGTAATATGTATTAAGCACCATAATTAAAATTTAGTTAGTTATATCCAAGTACAGTGAAAGACTAAAAATCCTAGAACACTATTTACATATCTGGTAAGACAATTACACCTAGCAAGTTAAAAGTCTAATCCACCGTAAAATGAGATTTTTACATTCAGACCAGCTTAAGATATGCTCCTGACTTTTGCTACCCATTATTTTATGGTTACAGAAGTAACAGTGGAGTTCTTAGCAGTAACACAATCAGTGTTTAATGAAAAGGTGCTCCTACTTTTTCCTCCATACTGAGCTGCCCTTCCCAGCAGACGTCTGAAACACTGTAAGCAGAGTTCTTAAAGTCAACTTTCTCACACATTGATGACTGTCTCATACTTGGGGGGTGGGGATGCAAATCAACTAATTATCTTTAAGACAAGTCCTGGAAGACGTTTTAAAACTAAACTGCACACAGTCTTATCAGAATTAAGAACTTCTCTTGCTATGCTAAGAACAGTAGTTAAGATTTTAAGATGTTTAGAACTCACTTTATTACCTTTGAAAAGCAGAACTATTCAGATTTACAAGGACCCTACTTTCTTTGTATCTTTTCTGTATAATCAAATTTCATAGTAGGTGTCAGTATAGCTGCGTGGCTGTCCTCTGCATATATAAGCATATTGCCAGGCATTGCAATGGGCATATGCAATAAAAGACTAAAGAATGCTGTTTTAACAGTTCTGTAAGAGGGAATACCTGCTTGCCAGGAATTTGCTTCGCCACACATCACACTGTATAGACATGCGCTCTAACTGTTCAGACAACTGAGACAGATTCCGGCCCAGGACTTCATTTTCTAGGATTAGCTGATTCTTCTCACGAGCCATCCGTTCAAAGTGATACTGCAGATCATCCCCAACAGAAGCAACAAGCAATTTTTTCAGCTCCCGATTCACCTAGAATTAGACCAGAATGGCTTGTAATTACCAATATAGAATGAAACACCTCCTACTTCCAGAACGCAGTGCAAGTTATTGCAAATTGCTGACAATAAATTGCCTTTCTCTTTCCAGAATGGGACAAATCCAATACAGAGTACGTTAGTCCTCACAATCCACTGCAATGAGCATAAATATTTGAGACTAACGCATTTTAACACATTCTTGTTTAAATTCTAACAGAGGCCAAAGAGTAAGAATAAAAGCCTGCTACAAGAAACAGAAATTTTCAGTAGTATTTGAGTCCTGAATGAGTAAGATAAAGGATTAGACAAGACATCCACAAATTACATGATGTAGAAAATTATAGTCCCCCCTTCTATGGCATGACATTTTAAACTTAGTGGTTGAGTTGAGGAGCAAAATCTTTTCTTATGAAAGATACATTTCCCTGCATCCCTCCAATGTGTTCCTCTTGGCTTCAAGCCTTTGATACTTTTATCTGTTGTCAGAGAAGCAGCACCAGATTACTTAGAAGTATTTCTACTCTGGATCTTAGCTGATAAGATCAAAAGGGAAACTATTTGTTTCAAGGCTACAGTGTCATAACAGTTCTCTTTGGTTGCATTCACAAGCTGTCAATATAAACCAAAGCAGCTCAGCTGTGAGAGAGAAAAACCCTTTCATTTCTTACCTCTGTCTGTATGCGTAGCTGATTAGAGAGACCTTCTTTATCCTGTAACAACCGCTTTTCTGAATTCTTTAGCTTTTCAATTGCATTCTTCAGCTCTGTCTGTTCTTTCTTGGGATCTGCGGGTCCATCTGACTGATGGAATGAGTCTCCTTTATGTCCTGCTGATTTAGCTACCTTAGCACTTTTACTTGGAACAACATGGGCAATAGCTGCTTTGGGGACTAATATACGAATAGCTTCAATCTCCACTGATTTATCAGCAGGTACTTTCCCTAGCTGCAGAACTCCAGGACTCAGGGAAGAGACTGCCTTTTTATGTGGGCTGTGGCGGATGTGATGGTTCATAGTGTTGGTTCCAGTGATTACTTCCACGGATTCAGCCGTCTGCTCTGTTTCCATGCCATCTCCGGGTCCTCGGATGGGTGACGAGGCATCATCAGCTAAAATTTAGAAATAGCAGAGGGAAAGTTTAGCACCTTTCACTTTTTTATAGTTGCACTGTAACTCTTCACTTAATTTCTGTCATTCAAAGTCACAATTTTAATTGCACACTGCATGTGTAAAATAGTCCTTTACAGCAGCAATTATAAAGCACAAGTTAGAAAAGTTGTTACTCAAGTGTGTGTTGCTCATTGAAACTAGTAGTACAAGACACAAACATTGATCTGAATTGTATTAAACCTAGTCTCCTGCAGATTAAATGCACACACAAAAAAGAGCTAGTATGGAGAAAATTCTTGACAATGTTACTCAGAGGTTGAAAGCAAAATCAGGTTTCGGGAGCTGACAGAATCAGAGCAGTCTCATTTTAAAAGCAAGAATTAAATGAAAAGTAGCTACTAGCATCTTAATAAGTTTAGCAGACTTAAGTACTATCTACCATGTGTTGTAGCTGTCCAAGTGAAAGTTTAAGTAAACTCTACTTCATTTCTAACTGATAAACCTCAGTATTCCCAGTAACGCTGCTTTCTGCTCCAAATTCCCCAATACGCATGATAACGTTTACTGAAATCCATTTTATTTAAGTTCACTAAGTTTTCAGCTGAATGAAATATTATTGTAGTAGTTGTCTTACAATGGGTGAAAACAAGCAAGTTTCTTGGAACATAGTTACACATACTGCTTTTTTCCTCATACTGCAGGCAGTAATGTGAGCCTGTGTTCTCCATCCAAATAATGAATTTAAAAAATGATGTAGTAGCGCCATTATATTGCCCTACTTTCAAGCTGGCTGAATCAGTACCAACAGGTTCTAAATAGCAGAGGAGGACTGACAGACAAGCATACAGGCAGATTACAGTACCAGTGACAAACTTGTTTTTCACTACAAAGCTGGATTAGAAAACCACATTCAATTAATTGTTCCATCCAGGCAGCTCTGGTTTTCACTCCAATAAAGACGTCACATAACTACTTCCTAATAGCTACATAAAAGGAATAAGTTTAAATGAACGGAGTCTGGCATACAGTGTAACTCTGATCTTTAGAATTCAAGTTAAAGTACTTTCAATCTAGTCTGCTTAGACATCATGTGAACCACTTACCTTTTTCTAGAGATGCCATTTTCTCTTTAGCAGTCAGCTCTTCCTAACTACATATGTCTGAGAAGGAAAGGAGAGGAGGGGGAAAAAAAGCCTTTAGCAAGGTAACAGTGACAATTAATCTTCGATTACCCTATTTGCTAGTACAATCTCTAAACTCCAGTTCTGTAGCATAGTGAAAAAACAACACCAAAACAAAGAGAAAAAAACCCAAAAACCAAATGATAAAACACACATCAGGACCCAAAGAGTTAAAATGAGAAGGCCTGTGAAACTTCTGACGCTTGTTTCTTCTTTCACTAAGAGCTGGAATTCAACTCCTATCAGTTCCAGTTTCCATTCCTCAAATTTCTTTCTGGTGTCCCTCTTCTTTTAGTGGGCCTTCATCTTACCCTTTAAAACTCTGTAACACTCCCAGAGTACAACTCCATGACCGTGCAGAGATAACCTAAAATCATCACAGAACCACAAGAAAGGGAAATCCTACAGTGTGTTTAAAGCAGACCAAGAGGCAAGGAGAAAATGATGGCAAGTGCACAGTTGCACAACTGCTTTAGTCCCAGTTGCTAACAAAATTTTTTTGTTAGAGCCAATTCCCAACCAAAGCAGGAGCCAGTGCCCTGAGTGGCTGCACATGCTTAGTTTAAGCCAACGGTAAAACTTTACCCTCAGTTTGGCCCAATGCCATCCTGGCCATTTTATCCCTTATCCACCAATACTATTGATCATTGCCTCCTTTATCCACAGGTCCATCCAATCCCAACTCTCCAGGCTACACACCTCCTTTTCCAGGGTCTGCCACTAACTACATTAGTTTGAGATCAGTATATACCTGTTTGGTTCCCCCCCTTTCAGTTCTTACTGCATTGTTCATTTAGTGGCCAGCCCAGCCTAAACCACAACAGAGAGAGATTAAGGCAGATCTCCCAAAGCCCTTGCTTCCTTTTGTTATACCACTAACTGAAAAGGTTTAACTACAACTTTTTTGACTTCCACTGCTACAGCTCTCTGCCCTGAAAAGATAATGGTATCAGTGAGCACACTACTGCCAGCTTTCTAGATTCATGATTTGTTTCATGGAAGGTAGGCTTATCTTTTGTGATGACAAGAAGACAAAAGAAATTACTTTTTCCCTCCTTGAGTTTTTCCAAGCTACAATTACAGAAGCATCTTGCTATCTGTCGCTTCTACAACTGGAGTTATGTTTTTGCTCATTTAATACCATGATGTGTTAATCACCACCACTGTTCATTCACTTTTGATTGAGGATCTCTACTCATTTGATGAGAACAAGGAGGACAAAAATGTAGCTGCTCAGGAAGAGGCAAGAATACTCAATAAAAGATTGATTATGAGCATTTCATCTTATCTGAGATCACCTGCTGATGATCCTGCACCTTCACTGTTCATATTATAATACTGCTCTTACTGTTCTCCCACTTGAAAAGTGTAAGCCTTTGCCCCCCCCCCCCTCCTCTATTACATCCCTATAGGCAAAAATCCTTCAGTGGTCAAATCGTTAACCACTACACCTCTCAGGTAACGTCGTGCCCTACAGAACCCCCCCAAATGACAAACAACGCAAGGAAATCCTGTATTAAGACGGCTGAGTCACAGCTGACGAGGGCCTCCCAAAACCACCACCGCCCGGGCCCC